CAATTAGTGATGAAGATTTAAATGAAAATTATTTTGAATCATTATGGGAAACAAATCCTGAAGAATTTCATCATATAACAATACTTTCTGATGTTTTACCTATTTTATTAGCATTAATACATGATGGTAAAGTAAATGGTCAAATTGATATATGTAATAAAAGTACAATATCATTGAAATATTTTCAAAAAATTAATTCAAATGAAATCAAACAAGAGAATATTTTACCTCAATCATCAATTGAAATCAAAGATCTAACAGATAAATTTGAACAATGGAATAAACAAATGATTTTACCTGGAACACGACAACTTTATCAAGCATCTTTTTTATTACCAAATGTATTAAAAAGTATTGAACAAGTTATACAACAACAAAAACTCAATATGAATCAAAATACATCAAAAGTATTACTTGTTACTGGTGGATGTGGATTTATTGGAAGTACATTTATTAATCATTGGATTCAAACATATCCGAATGATAAAATTATTAATGTTGATCGACTTGATCCAGTTGCTAATACAAAAAATATTTCCAATCCAAATTCACCTAATTATACGTTAATTGTTGCAAATATTAATAATAAAGATATTGTTTTACATCTTTTTAATCAATACAATATCACACATATTATTCATTTTGCAGGTAAATATCATAGAATTGAGAAAAAGATGACTCATCTGTTGAATTGGTATTAGATATCTCCTCATCAGGGTTTTGCGAAGTCAAAATATTTGACTTCAAACAATAGGTTTTTTGTATATTGTAGTGTATGTTTTATTCTTTACTTAACATATGAAGAATAAAGTTATTATTATCTAAGAGCAACAATGCTTGATTTTGTTACTGAGGTAACTTTGAATTGACTTCGAAAAAAATTCTTCACGTTCGATCCGACTCTATCGTCATTGAAGTCGAAGTCCAATGCAGAGTTCTACTACTTACTAGACTAGATGCACTAAGTACATATTGAATGGGTTGACCTTGTTTCCACCTAAAGTTGGATAATAGATCTCAGAAAAATGGCCCAATGCTATCTGAATCTAATAAAAATATTACTGGTTTGTTTGGTCCCCGAAAATGTGATTCCTCATTTTAGTCGAGAAAGAAATGCTCGTATCCTACAAATACGCTATCGGTTGATTTCACTACGAAAAAATAACTTCTCTCCAAATATCATCTTCTTTGTCTTGCTCCAAGAAACATTTTTCATATTGCCTCAACCTATCTTCTGGAGAAAAAAAAGATTTTTACAATTCCTTGACCAACATAAAAATTTATTGATAAAATAACATCGTTCTATTTTTTTTTCATTCTGATCCATATAAATAAACAACTATTTAAATTACTATTGAATCAAATTCATTTCTATTATTGTTTTCAATTCGATTTGAAATTCTAGTAAATGTATACTTCTTGTTTATTATAGTTCAAGCTCATCTTGATACTTCGTTTGGTAATAGTATTACATTTACAGAATCGAATGTCTACGGAACTCATTCTGTGCTTGAAGCAAGTCGAATTTATGGTAAAATTCAAAAATTTCTTCATATAAGTACTGATGAAGTTTATGGTGAAACACCATCTGGTAGTAATCAAGAAATCTGTCTTCTTAATCCACTTAATCCATATGCAGCAACAATAGCAGCAGCTGAATTTCTTGTTAGATCCTATGGTGAAAGTTTTAAATTACCTTATTGTATAATTCGTTTATGTAATGTCTATGGACCACGACAACATATTGAAAAAGTTATTCCGACCTTCATTAACAATTTATCACATGGAGAAAAAATAAAAATTCATGGTGATGGTAAACAAATACGTCATTTTCTTTACGTTGATGATGTTATTCATGCTATTGAAATTATTTTTAATAAAGGAAAAACAAAAATGATTTATAATATTGGAACAAAAAATGAATTTCATGTTCTTGATATAGCAAAATATGTTTTAGAAAAACTTCAATTAAATAAAAATCTTGATGATGTTATTATATATGTTAAACCTCGATCATTTGCTGAAAAACGATATTGTACAACAACATCTGGATTAATTAAATCACTTGGTTGGAAAGAACAAATATCATTTGATCAAGGATTAGAAAAAACTATTCAATGGCTTAGAGCAAATCCTGATTATTGGACAAAATAAAATTTTTATTTTGAGACATTGGTTTTTGAATAATTAATATTCATCCTTTTAATGTGTTTTTTTAATAAAATATTAAACAGATTAAGTAAAATAACTTTTAGAAGGACACATTGTCTTTTGGTATAAGCCTAAGATGCTACCACAAATCAATTCCTAAATAAGATATTATTCTAGAGTTGATAGTTGTAGAAAAAGCTATTGAATGATAAAATGTTAATAGACTTCATGATTTGTGTGTTGTGTTCTCATCCCACATTTTTACGATAAACTTAAAATGCACACCGAATTCTTCTTATAATCTGATAGACACGGTGACGCTAAAATCCTACCAAAGCAATCGAAATGATAGGAAACGAAAAGGTTTAGTTGTATGCGAGCAAACGAATCGAAGAATTTTTGAGTCACTGTTACGAAAGATCTTTTCAAAAACTTCAAAATGTTTCATTAAGTTTTCTTTTATCTAGAATGTCCAACAGCTAAGACAAGCCCTAGTGAATGTGCTGAGCTAAGGATACCCATATACTGAGAAAGCTTCAGCAAGATATCTGATATGAGTACTTCGAAAATTCTCAGTAATGATACTGATTTAGGTGCTGCATTGGGTACCCGTAGCTGTATGTTTACTGAACAAGTACTTGCATGGGTACTCGCACCTGTAATTTTACTGAGAAAAGCTCTACAGGGTACCCTAGATTTGTCGTGTTCTGTGTAGCAACTGTTCATTCACCGTTTTCTTTTGTACACACGGCTTTATATAAACAACGTGACAAAACATAAAGAATTAATATTTTTTCACACTAAATCTTTCTGCATTATTTCTTGTCTATTTACTAGTCGAGAACATGCCGATCTCGATCATAAATTGAGAATGGACTACCCTGACGTGGTCTGATGGAGATCCGACTAACTGAAGTCCGGTCAGATCTCGAAATTTGACCTGCTTGAGTTTTCAGAATTGGAAAAATTAAATTAAATAAAATCGGAAAAATGTCATAAATTGCTTTGAGAGAAACAAAAACGAAAAAGTCAAAGGTTAGGTTCGATCATCAACATACTGTAATTTTGGCAACAGATTACCTAAAAATACTGCACAATAGTACTCAGTTAAGTATCTAATCAGTACCTTCAAGTATCCATTTACTAGACGCTTTCCAGCAGGGTACCTGATAAGGTATTTTAGTACCTAACAGATCCTGTGACATACTAGTAGCAGGGGACTTTTTCGAGTGCTCTTAACTCAGTACACTCACTAGGGAGGGCAGTCGACTTAACAAAGTTACAAAATACGTCATTTTTATATCTCATACTCTAAAGTCCATACTTTTTCACAACTAACTTTCACACCAAAGCGTTTTATATAGATATGTAGAGTATTGAACACAAATTCTTTTGGTAAAAAAACTCAAGTCTCAATTACGGAAAACGACAGTGATATTGATACAATGTTGAAAGATCCATATAATCTGGGATATTCGTTATATTATCAGTAAGATTTATTATGATATCGTGTTGTAGATATTTTAAACAAAAAAGTGATTGGATGGCGTATGGGGATTCTAAGTACATGACAGAGTATCAGGCCATTCGACAGGTGAGTTGTTACACACTCCTTAGCGGATTGCAACTTCCGTGCCCACCGACCCGGTTTCACTACAGCAAACAGATACCCATTTTGTCATCCCTCCAGTTCTCAGACGAAGTATCCCCACATAAAACAAGCCAATCACCAAGTATTTCTTTAGATTTTTCTCCTTCTTATTTTGTGTCGTAATTCATATTGTGTAATTACATATTTCTTTTTTGTCTTTCCTGCCGTTAAGCAGACTACGTGAAGAGAAACGTTTTTTTTCGTTCTATGCTTTACTTTGTGAATGTGTTATTAATGATGAATGAGTTCTTTTTTATTATAAGAAAAAATGAATTTCTAAAAAAAATAAAAGGAAATGAACTTTCTTTCTCCTGTAATGATATAGGTCAATACAGATAAATATAAATTATTACTTTTTTTTTCAAAACTAATCGTGTGCTATTAAACGATATTGTTACCATAACCTTGAGAGTTTCTCAGCAAATATTTGTTATTACAAAATAGAAACTAACAATTTATATTTAATTTTTTAATTATAAAAACAAATCTTTTCAAAATTTTTCACTCGATATCCATAGTTTCATTCTTGTTGTTATTGTACCGATAAAATACTTGAAATCTCTTAGATCGATTTTGTGGAACTCACATGTTTTCGAAGAAAATAGTGAGTGTAAATTTTAAATCGAGGTTTTGCGGCTCCTCCCCCCTAGGTCCTCACCATTACAGACCTTAGCAACCGGGATTAACGATCAAAGGCCATTGAGTACATTTTCCTAGCAATGAAGGTTAATAAGAACTGACTTCTTTTCTATGGCTCCTTAGCAACCATATGGCGGAAACCATACATTATTGGATATGTTTCCATGGCACCGAGCTTCCCTATTACAGACCGTTACAAACAAATTAATTAATAATTAATATATTCAATATTTAATATCTAATATTTACTATTTATTAGGTTATTTTTTGATATTTTATATTTTTAATGTTAATGTTGAACAATATTTAATATTTCATTGTTAAGCCATTATTGGGCGGTGACCAACCGTCATTGGAATATCATTAAAAAAATAGAATTCATGTTTTAGAGATGTATATGACAATACAAATAACTTTTTTAACATCACGATGTTAAATGAATGAAATAATCTGATAGAAAAGTAATTATGTATATGGACAGTTTCACTAAAGAAAACTTCAGAGCGCACGTACAACTATCAAAATTGTTATAATTCTGATTTATTCATCTATTTGATATATATTTTTTAATAACTTATTTTAAAACCACCGACCATATGTATTAAATTTATAAGACTCAAAGTTTGTGAGTTCCACATTTCGGTCCTTCTTGGGGTCGCACTGACAAGTTTTTCGACATTGATAGTATATCAAGAAACATTTTCAAAAACAATATTTATTTGTTTTGAATAAATATTTGTTCTCGATTAAGAAGTTATTACCATTGTTATGAAGAATTATTTTTTATTGATTGTCGATTTGATTAAAATCTAGGTTTTTCAGGTTCATTATCTGTGTCTATTTCCTCGTCGATGCTCATGTCATCGAGATATGAGACAGATGTATTATTAACAGGTCCTGTTTTAAGTGATGGTTCTTCGGTGCTTTGCGAGTTTGACACGCCTTCAAATACATATTGTCGTGTATCTTTAGCATTATTTGACGAAGCTGCTCGATTTGTTTGCTGATGTATATACTCCGAATAACGCTGTTCTTCATCTGGTTTATTGAAACGCTGTTTTTTAATCAACCGATAATCCCTGAAACTAATAGCATTGACAATGTAGTACACGTGTCCACGCCAATATTTACGACCGCAAGATTTTGTTGCTTTATCGTAGGTCTCATGAGACCTGTATACATGTGTCAAAAGCACACAATCACCTTCTTTTTGTATTTTTGCAGCAGATTTAAAGAATTTCTTTAACATGTGCGCTGTATCAGATAGTGCATAAGAGTCATTCCACGCAAGACACGACTGAGATCATAGAGAAACTGCTCAATCGAGGTCCTCAGAATTTGCTCAATTTGGGATAATCTTATAGAGGAAAGAGTTTTATGAACTTTGATCCAAGTCGTTTTGAAAAATAGTGAACTGTTGATTTTTTATGGCTGTTTTACGAAATCTACTAAAAATCAACATTTCGACCAAGGGAAGTACTGAAAGATCCATATCTCAAGAACGGCATGATCTCTTGAGCTGAAACTTTCTATGGATATATATCTTCATGAGTTATAGCCATCATAAAATTTTCAGCTCAAAATATTGAACCACTGGTTTTTTATGACTCATCCAATATGAGCAAAAATTCACATTTTGGACATCTTTGGTGCTTCATAACTCATGATAGGAGTAACATAGAGACCTGAAATTTTTACTAGAACTAGACTGCATAGTAATAAATATATCTCTTAAAAATTCCAGCTCGATATAGGCTTCCTTTCGATCAATAGGATTCTCCCAAAAATGGGTTTTTGATGAAAATCGCAACTTTCAGATGAAGTTTTCTTCCAAGAAACCAGGTTGTATGAAGGCTGAGCTTAAGAAGTTGGAAGAGTGATCTGAGGTGTACCACTTAATGGCAAAATCAGCCTGGAACATCTAGAAATGGCTTGCGACAAAGGTCATCTTTAGGGACCCGAAATGAATATTTGGGCTCATCTATGTATACAAATCTCATGAATAGATCATATTAGACAGCTGAAATCCTGGCTATCGGCAGACCTCAGTGAGTATGTATTCTGGTAAAAAATTCAGTTCCCTAGATAGTTTCCATCACTTAGGAGGCCTTCCACAAAATCGTGATTTTGATGAAAATCATGATTTTGGCGGAGTTGGATTTCCCTAGAAATGGGCCCTAGAGAAGTCGGGCCTGTGTTACTTTAAAGCACACATATAGTACTCCAAAGTTATGCAAGAATTGACTTGGGTTCTCGTAGGATGATTTGGGGAGCCCTACTAAAAGATGCCCAAAAATGACCCCTTTCCATAGAGAATATACCTCAGTTGGCTCAGAAATTAATAGAAAAGAATCATCATCTGAAATAAATTCTATCCAGTAAAAATCAGAATACGACCCTCTATTGATTTCCATAAAAAAGAGTGCGGATGGGTGTGAGTGTGGGTGTAGGTGTAGGTGTGGGTGTGAGGTGTGTGTGAACGTGGGTGTGGATGTGGGTGTCGACGTCGGTGGGTGTGAGTGTGAGCAAACAGAATATTTACACTCACTACCATACCACATACTCGCACCTACACGCACACCCCACACTCACATCCACATCCACATCCCACACTCACATCCACACCCACACCTCACACTCATACCCACCACACCCACCCCGACCTTCACACCAGCCACCGATTCCTTTTCTCCTATATTAATTTGGTAATCTAAATATTGTATTTGTGCTTGTTCTAGGATCTGGTGCGGCATATAATAATAGTTTCTAATGTTCGTGGAATTTAGTGTTTTGTTGTTTTCAGGAGTGATATATATAGATGTTTTTGTACTCGTATTTTTTGTCTTTTTATCCAGAGCGACCTGTTTGGTCACCAGAGATCAATAAGATCTCGCCAGTTATTTTATTCCAGCTGCGAAAACCATGTATAGCTCGATTACATTCTTTAATTGCATAGTCGTCTATAATAATAACACCGCCAAGTTGTAATTTTGAATATAAATAAAATAGTTGATCTATTGTCGATTCATACATATCGCCGTCCATTTGAAGAACAGCTATTTGAGAAATATCACAACGAGAGAGCGAATCCACAAAATACCCTTAACAAAAATGGACATGATCATCAAGTAAATTGAATGAACGAAAATTTATTTGGACTTCTTCAAGTGAAACCTAAAGTAATAAAGATAATAGTTCGTTTCGCTAAAAGGATCAAATGAATACCTTTAAGGATTCCATCTTCGACCAATTATCATTATCATTCTTTGCTGTTGCTTTTGGTAATCCTTGAAATAAATCAGCTAACCACAGATGTTTATCTTTATTATTTAATGGCTTTGGTACAGCGCGAGTAAATATTGAGCTTCCACCTCTCCAGACGCCACGTTCCATAAAATCATCTGGAATTCGATTCGCAATAACAAATCTTAACGCCCTTTCGATTTTTATCGATCATTTTTGTCCAACCATAGTAATGTCGGTTAAAGGTCAATCTAAA